TCTGCTTAGCTTCTGGTTATTGTGTTTTGATTGGACTCCCCAGGGGTGGGAATAACGCCGTTGTGAATGTCACATTCATCAAGGAATTACTGTATATAACAAACACATAGAAGTTCTAACTCGAAAATATAAAAAGTCATGAAAAAGCTTGCCCGTCTTCTAAAGTTAAACACGTCAATTCTTTCTTAATAGTTATTCCAGAATACACGCGATCCATCCCCGTAAATCTTTTTATTCTAAACATCCACGAATCGCTCGATACGCTAACTAAAATATTTACTATACCTCTTCCATACAATTTCACGTTTCACAATTCAGCATCGATCCATAATGAAGTAAGTCCACGTAATAAATGTTCTAATATCAAACTCATGGATGTGTTCGATCCTCTCCTGACCGCTCGGACATTCAGGCTCCTTCACCGCGGTTTCCCTCGAGCCGGATTCACGAAATTTGCCTCGCCGAATCCCCGAAACCTCGTATATACACGTTTTATCAGCCAATAACGGTGGCTCCTCATAAATTTTCGATGTTATTACGTCGATGGTAAACGCGGACTTAAGAGGTGGCTAGGTAACAGGTAATTTATAGAGATTAGTTTCAGTCTGGGGCGTACGAAACGAGGAAAAGGAGAATGGTGGAAGGGGGGGGGGCGAAGGAAACAATGACGAAACTTTTCGAAACGGGCTGCAGGACGGAAGAAAGGATCTGCGCAAATCGTTAGCTACGACGGGGGTGGGAGGACTTTTCTTCCAGGTGTTGTTCCGCTCGGAGAGCATGAAAGAGTCAGGTGGGTGGGAAACGGTGAAAACGGACTGTCAGATGGAAATAGCGGTGAACACTCGATAAGAACGTCCCTCAGGATCCCCCGTTATCCGATCCAACGTACATAACTATTCGATAGAGTGCGCAGGTTGCCAGAGAAGAGGCTGAGTTCTCGAAAGGCAGAAATGTTATCCGGCGAATGTGCACGACGACGGTGGTGGGTCTACGTGTATCAGAATTTCGCGGCAACGTCTGAATATTTTAATATCACTTTTGTCGTGACCTTTGCTTGGGGGAGCGTGGCTGCCTTTTTGAAAACTTTCTTAATTTTTAAGGAAAAACTTCTTAGTACCCCTCTGCGTCTCGTTATCTCTATGTGGAAATAACAAATAAATTTATTTCATGGTTCCAAAGTAATCAATAATATATCAGCTGAGTTCCTGTTTCTCGAGACACTGGTATGTACATATGTAGCAAATATATTCATTTTTAAGCGGTATTCTTAGGCGTGCCAATTAGTGATTCACCATCTTTTCGAAAGCGGTGACAATTCTAAGAAGAATTAGGAACCTGTGCTGTCACTAATAACCCAGACAAGTGATTGATGCGACCATAAATAATAAAGACAAACAAATGATTCTCCGGAATACATTTTCTATGAAAACGAAGTTACCTCTGTAACAGAGTTTTCTATTCGTCTGGAATATGCTTGAATTATTTAATAATTAAATTAACAAGTTAAAACATAAACACGTCTGCGTTCTTCGTCACCTTCTATTCGACAATATAATTCCATTACCAAATAGAAGGTATTCGAAAAAACAGAATTTCTGTCAGTCTCCAACAGTCAAAGTGAAATTCTACTATTTTTTTACTCTATGAAGCAACGCGGAACCAACGGTTCGGAAAATAAATTGTCAATCAAATTCTGTCTACCTCAGGTGGGCCAGAATATCACATAAACCGCGGGTATTGAATTAAATAAGCGAGTAATCGTTTCAACCGATTGTCCTCGATTCCACAAGGACGTCGTGTACGAACTTCACGCGAACAAGTCAAAATATTTTCGTCGCTTCAGCGAGCTAGAATGAATTTCGATTGGTTACATCTCATCCTCTGGGATGTTGTGTACTGTCGATGACATGAAAGGACATGCAGGCGTTACAAATCTCTGTGAGAATGATGAATACGTTCCTCTGTGATTTTCGAACATTAAATACAACGCCGGTTACGGGTTGAAATGGATGAAAAGTGGATGTGTATGGTGTCTCATTATTCATTAGTCGGTTAGCACATGATTAGTGCTGATTGAAATGATTTCGATGTACAATACATGAAAGTATGCCAATTTACCATTTACAGTTTCCATTACTTTGATTAGTATTCGGTGCAAAGATTGATTTAATTCAGACTGTTGCAAAGTAATATCATCACGCTCTTTGCGAAAGCAATGAACATATTTATAATACACATATTTACTTATATTGGAAAATATTCACCATTTTTGTTAAGTGAAAAAAGTAAAAATTGAGAGAGTTATACATTATTCTGCTTACCTAGTTGAAACGAAAAAAAAGAAGAAAAAAATTTGTTACTAGTATCAGTGTGATTATGGCAAAAACCAGCATGAAAAAGAAATATCGAAAATATAAAAACTGCGGCACTTTGAAGTTAGAATATCGATTTTTTCCATTTTTTCGTATTCACGGTTTTGAAATGTAAAAAAAAAAGGTATTTTGTAATGCTGATTCACACGATAACGGTACACCTATCGAAGATGTGCATCAAATGTGAAGTCAATTATGATACAAATACCAGCCATTCCAAAATATGGTTTAAAAAAAATACGTTTAAAGCTGTGTACGCTGCTATTTGCAGGCTGCGTGTCATCTTCTTTAAAACATCTATAATTTCGTTAATTTTACTAATTTGGTCAAATCATTATGCAGAATGCAGCAGATCGTATTAATTGCAATCGTGTAATTTTTCACAGTTGGATATACTATGTTATATGTATAATTAAGATGAAATATTTCAATGCGCCAGTTTGAAAAAATTATTGCCTGCGCCTAATTAACAAAGAACTGAATTGAATCATTCTCTCCAGAGATAACGTTATGAGGTCTGTATATGTATAACGTAGAGGATATTAGAGTGCATTACATAGTACGAAAAGAAATTATCGTGAAGCAACGACTTGATAGAATAAATAACATTCCAAATCGTAGATAACAACGTTAAACTGAATAAATATTCGTCAAAACCGTAGTATATCTGCTTGGGTTATATCTATGATAACGTTAAACCAGACTATGAAATATACTTCAATCATATTACTAACAAAAGCGTTATTCTACAAAACAGATAGATACATTGGTAGCTAGTGTACGTTAGTAAATGGTACAGCTAGCAATAATGCCATAATAATACACTAAAAGTTACATAACAGCTTTATTCTTTAATTATTGGTACGGATATAGACTGCATGACTAGAACTTAATAATTGATACAAATCCTTTATTATTATCGATTCAAACAATTGTCTAACCAAAACATAGAACAATATTACACAAATATTATCAATGCTAGCTCAATTAATTTCATTCCTAAAATATCTGCTGCAATTATAAATAGAAAAAGCTATAAGATAATATACAAATTGAAAAGGTTTTGTTTTCCCATTATTTCTGATCAATAACCTCTTCTAGCACATTTCTATTATTTAAATCATTCTTCCGAATGTTTCCGGACATTCTTTTGGAAGAAAGTAGAGGGTACTGATCCTTCAGGGATTTTGTAATGATTCCCAATATAGGACTTCCTATATTTGAACCCTCTTCCACATTCACATTTCTTCAATCAATATCGCATCATTCATTTGAAGTAACATGTTATGTGTTCTGCCGAACCACTCGGGGCCAGTATTAAATTCCTTAAAGGGCATATACCTGTATAGGATCTGGTCCTATCGGGATTTCCCGCTCACGTATCCGCGACCATTGCGTTTCGAGGTTTATCCACGGTCGTTTGCCAATCTCTTGGACTCAACGAGACTCGCGAAGTTAGTTTCAGCAGTTGTTTAAGAATGGAAACGGTGCTGAATCGTTTAACCGAACATTTTCGTCTTTTTAAAAGTTCCCAGCGAAAGCGAGAACTTACTTCGGATTTGTTTGCTCTTAATGGAATTGTTAGTTCCACGAACTACACCAAAGGAGAGAAACGTTTTATAAAAAAGAACAATAATATCGGCAGCTACGAAAAGATGATCAGATTCGTTTATTGAACGCGATACAATCGTTCAAATGCAAAATAACATTTACAACAATTACTGTTTTTTACCTTCATTAAATTAATAATTTAAATTTAGTCAAGTATTATAATCGGACTGGAGAAAAGAAGCTTGAAACTTCTGCTTCTTTTAACTCTATTTAATATGTGTACGGATAAGTAATTCGTTAGTCTTTCCTAAGTTTAGCCTTTGTTTTACAGTAAAAATAGCAGAGCCAAGCACAAAAGCGGAAAGATATATTGCATTGAAATTCTAACGTTATTTTATTAAACACTTAGAAAATCTTATCACCGTCTATTGTCTGTTCAGCACTACTATCGATACTGAATCTAGCTTCTAAAGCAAATTTGCCAAAAGACGGCTGAATAGGTACTCTGGAATGAAAATTTGTGAACCTGCTAGAGCTTATACGATAGCACAATCGGCAGCAAAATCGAATTGCCCCATTTATCCCGTAAAGGTATAAATACAAAGTCTGATATTGTAAATGTAACAAATGTTATACAAAAATGTGTTTGCAACATATTATGAGGAATATTTGGGAAACAAGCTTTGAAACAGATTTTTTTATTGTCTAACGTTAATGTTTCTTTAGATCTATACCGTTTCAAATTAAACACAGAATCATAAAACACCCCGATTTTTATGTGTCGTGGTCAACAAATTTTACTTTTACAGACTCCATGAGTACCCCACGTAGGTACTTATCAGCATTCTGTTATATTAAATGAAAGTAAAAGTTTCAGAAGTTCAGATTTTCAAAGTCATTACATTTTTAGTGAAACGAAATTTATCCGAAGCAAGTTAAGCAAACTGTATCATCGACATTTCAAGGAATATTGAAAATGGAAGCGGAAAATCAAAGTGAACTGATATCGATTCCATTCAGCACCGTTCCAAGAACAATCATATTTTAATTAATGAAATATATCAAGTTATATGTTGTTCATAAACTCACGTCATATTTCTCCTGAATATGAGGTCCAGCCTGAGCGATGTAGAGGGTGCTGGCAGTGTCAAACACCAATTCGAGGGGTATTCTGGTCACTCGCTGTCTGGCCATCTCATAACAATTCAAATACAAAGTGACGTCGGTTAACGACACTCTGATGACGATTTTGGACCATTTCTTCGTCAATTTTGGCACCGCAAATTTTGCTACCTCTTCCGAATCCGAGTGTTGATCGGAATTAGTATAAATCAATGAAACGTTCTGATTGGTTCCTAGTCCATCCTGCGAAGAAAACAGTATTTATTACATACACAATGTTTATCTTGATGTAATAAGAATTTAACTTACACTTCACAGTTTTAACTTCAATAGTAAAGAACAAATATTTATGTATTTTTAATAATATATATATTAAAGATGTATAGCAAAAGTATTGCAAATTTATAATGTACATAGTAAATTTAAAAATATATATTGTCACTTAATTAACAGCGTTTACATTTACGCTATACTGGTCTATACTTCGTACTGTTTTTTGTATAACATTAACGTGTGTACCATAATTGTTATTACTAATCCTAGACTTCAACTGTATTCCACAGTCTTCTCTATGCTTTTTGTGCCTTGACACATTATTGTGTTAGCTTTGGGAACAGGTTAGGTGCGAAACATAACCTGTATTCCAATTTGTGTTGGTGAGGAAATGCTGACTATATTTACTTAACTTTCACTGTAAAAAGTATTATCAAAAATTATATTGTATCATTAAGAATAGAATCACCGATCAGTCGACTTCGACCACCAATATCACGGCGAGAAAGCGAGAAAGGGTTGTATCCTTAGGTGAACACATCTCAACGACATAGGGGGATATGGATAAAGAACGTGACCTAAGTCTGGGGGTAGTAAATAAGATTTTGAAACAAAAATAGGAATCTGGATCAGTTGAACTGAAGCAAAATGGAAAATGTCGGAGAAAAAGAAGTACCCATCGCGATAAGACTCTTTTAACAAGAAATGGTAAATTATACCCCAGGAATAGGAGTTTTGACATGCAGCATGATTTATCTAAGGCTGAATTCACAATCTATGACTTTAATATGTATCTAGGAGTGGAACCTCTGTCCATATTAATTCGCAGAATATTCTATCCAAATTCTATTAAATTGCAAGCATACCCGACATACGTGTAGGTACTGTATAGCTGCCAGAAATGTGTCGAAAAGTACGGCAGCGATCGTGACGTAGGTACGAAAAGTGACTCGAAAAATACAATTTTCAATCTATATAGCGAAATCGACGATTCTCGGTGTTAGCAGATTTTTCATCGAATAACCCGGCAACCGTTTCCGGTTTCAAAATTATCTCAGGATCGCCTTTGGGGGTGGCTGTCATGGGTGAAGATAAAACAGCTCGGGATTCGAAAGTCGAGATGTTTTCCCGCGGTCGCAGGTTCGGGCGCTACCGATTCTCGTGGGGATCGAAGTCCCCATCGAAGCGCTCGAGAGCAGCGGGCTGCTTCACCTGCAGAACACGTAGACGTCCTATTACCCGTGGAAACGGTGCCACGAGAAACGTGAAAGATCTCAAAGAAATTTGAAGACTCGAGAGCTGCAACAACGGCCTCGAAGGGATTGGGAAACATGAGGAAATGCCTCCTCCTCCTCCTCCGTCTCTCCCACAGCGGGGAAGCGTCGACTTAAAAGTCTATCGCGCTACCGGAGCCCATTCCTTATAAATCGACCGATTGTACTTGGAAATTTTTGTCGACTTTCTGATTGGCTTTATATTCCGTTCCATGTCGTGCATTTTTTCTCGGGGAAGAATTCTCCTCCGGGGGTTTTATGCGACGAGCGCCGTCTTCGAGGAAGGATGAACAACCGTATGGGAAATGATACGTGAAAAGATCCGGTCGCATTAGAATGCGGTTCGTCATAATGCTGGGGTAAATGGAGAATTTCTAGCCGATTTTAAGTCTTTGCTGATCCTCTGTTCATAGAATGGAATACATATTTGACAATTTTCATTTTGTTGACTCGTTTGTCACCCATCTTTTCGAACATAGTTGTCACGCAGGGTCGCTTCGACCCAAGCCAATTTTTGAACAGTTGCTGTTTAAAAAGTTCCTCTTATATTGAGTCGTAAAAATTCTGAAATATATTGTAAATATTGTACCATATACTTTTATTGAAAAAAATTAACATTTAAAATACGATCATGTTTGAAAAAATTGTTGAAAAATTAAATTGTATAATATAGTAATATAGATAGCATATGGTACTACTTAGCATAATATATTATAATATAAAATGTATAGTGAATTAAAATTCAATATAAATTCTGCCAAAAGCACGATTATAATTTCGGTAATCGTAAAATAAGATATTCACAATCCGCCATTTTGACAGGTTTGGTGGTTCTAGTGTTGAAAGAATTCTTATATAAAACTTGTTTTATTTGGAGAACAGGATATGTAAATAATGTCAAACTTAAATTTATCATGACATTAATTGAAGAAATTTGAAATTCACGTTGAATTTACTTTAGAATTATTTAAAGAATTCCCATTCCTATTATTGGGGAATTGAAAAGGTGGCCACAAGAATAAGAAATAAATAATCATTTTTCTCAATGTTATTGACTTTGAATTTACGAAAAACTAAATTTATCCATTCAATTATACTTGTAATACTGTTTCAATAAAAAAGTCGTCAATAACAATTTGCACACTTTTAACTATATCCAAGTTCCATGATTTAACTGATCTTTAATCGTATATAAATATTGACAAATAGTTTTTTACTTTTATAAACTTTTACATAAACGTCATCTTTTTATGACTACATAGACTGTGGATTTTATGCATTTGTAGCTTTTAGGAATCTGAGAATTCTTGCTTTTTGTTGGTTTTCATAAATTCGTTTATAAAGTGTTATTTTCCATAAAAGTCCGCAGTTTATTTGTGACATAACAAAACCATACTATATAAATGAATTGGTTATATATGAATAATCATTTTTAATTACATGAATATTGATTAATTATTACTAATTGCTTTACTATCATTTTATAACCTCTTGTTGCGAGAATAAAACTGTCAAAAATCATTCAGTTATACGTACCGAAATACGAATGCCCAGTTGCACCACAGTTTCGAAGGGATTAAGGACTGCGAAGAGATAACTGGTTCTGTGGGATGTTGGTTTGAAAGTTGCCACTAAAGTAAACTCGGCCGGCAATTTTTCCGGAAGATATAACCGATATGGTTGCTTAACTTCAGAGCCAGGTCGAAAACCAAACGCCGGAAATCCGTCGAGGGCATCGTCCATGTACAAATTATTATCGTCTGACGCTGGCACGGTAGCCTCGAGTAAATCATAAACCACTTCTGAAACACAAAGGTGCAAAGAAAAATGATTAGAAAGCTTCATACTCTCCTGAAAAGATCGACTATTATTCGTTCAAATTATAATTAACAGGTTGAGTGCCAGTCAAGCACTCAACATTTTCAAGGGGTTACAAATAAAACGGAAATTATAGTAAGTTACAAGTTAATGCATAAGTAACTGCCTCAAGTATCTCATGGATTCCAATCATATTGGTTTCATGTATTTTACTGCTTGAAAGATAAATGTTTAGCTTTTGGAAAAACCTCTGCCATCTATTTGTGAATAACATCACAATCAAACTGTTGATAATTCAATTCCCTGCATTGAAAATCACAAAGAAAATATTTTCAAATATTTTACATACTTTCACTTCACACAAAGAATAAATAATACTTATATTCAAAATTTATTTCAGAAAATAGTTTCAAAGAGTGTATAAAATATGTGTTTAATTTACTGATTGTGAGAAGATATTAACTGATTACACTTTAACGAAAAGGAAAATATTTTTTCTATGAAACTTACATGTGGATAAGGTGGACGGTAATTAATGTAAGTTAACCGATCACAGAGATTTCAGAAGTTTTGAATTCAAGTTAAACTGCAATCCCGATGAACTAACTTTCATAGAAGCTGACCACGCTTTTCGTTTTTCCTTACTTCTATTTGCCGAGCCATTCCGCAAAATTACAGGCCCTCGTAAGTAAAAGAAGGCTAAAAGTTCAGCTTTAAGCCGAAAAGTGTATAAAACTCTGTCCATTAAGACGATTTTAGATCAACATCGCGAAAGTAGACAAGTTGCGCGCGCAAAAAAAAAAGACGAGAGAGATAGTTTAAAATTTAATTAGAAATTTTTTCCTACAACACTTTTAAGAATTCACGTAAAAAACGTTCTGCAAATTGTATTGCTCTTTAAACTGCTTCGTACACGTGGATGAGTAAATAGCCTTTGTGAATGTTCAAGTACGATTATCAAAACCTGCAAGGTGCAAAATTATAATCGTTGAAAAAAAACGTACATTATAATTACGATTCTAATGCAACTAAAGAGAAGAATTTGCTTCGAGTGATCAAACCTTTTCGAAACGTACGATCTACATATTTACAGGCGGAATACAACATTTCGATGCTACTAGAATTGTAGAAATTCATTTTCAGATGGACGTCATGGAAAATAAACGAAGAGTAATTTAGCATTCGTATGCTAAAAGTATAAAAATTATTTTCTTGGAAAATTTCATCCACGGTTGTAACAGAGGCGCCTTGGCCCTGCGATCGCTTCGCGGTGTCGAGTTATAAATTACGGGCCGCTTGTATCCCCCTTGTTTTATGCAAATTGTTTAAATTTAGTTCGAGGAACAGTCTCGACGATATATCAAACCGGCTAACTATCGGTCCGCGTTGGTAAACCGTGAATATTATTTTAACGCGATCATCTGCGAACTGCTCCCGTATGTATGGCCCGACGAGACTATAGTTAATTAAGGACATCGTTGAAAACAGCAGCGTTGCGCCGCGGAACGTGCCGCGAGCGCGCGCGGAGGAGAAAGAAAAGTGCAGAGGAGAGAAAAGTAATTCAAACTCGAAGCGAGAACTTTAATTATTTCGGTGCGTGGAGACTTTAAAGAGCTCAGCGGAATTAGCGTGTGAAATCTTGATAACACCGCCGTCGGTTGACACGGTTCGGGACTCGAAAAATCGCGAAGAGCTAAATATTTTTGAACATCTTCTTGGTATAAAATGCGTAGAACTATTGTGTAGAGGGTGTCCATCGTAACATCGTTCAGATAGCAGCGTAGATCCAAAGAACGTCCGTTTTATAATCAGTTTATATTCGAATGTCCTACGTCGCTTTTGAACATCCTTAGGATGTTCGTGAAATTTAAATTTCGGATGTCCTAGAAACGACTGTCCCGAAAGTCCTACGGATGTGCTCAAGAATTAAATTTCGCATGTTCTAGGTATGTCCGTTTCTTCAGCCTTAGTTTGTAGGATTTAAATTTCGGATGGTTTCGTTTAGTAATTTTGGCTCAATTTCGTTCCGGGCAAGGTGATGGATTCCTATGAGCAAGGTGTCATTCTTCGGAGAATTAATAAACAAGTGTATCGACACTATAGTGGTTTCGTGCGGAAATCTGAAAAAAACATTTGTTTTCTTAAACTGTCTCTAATCAACACAGAATCAGTATTCTGTTTTGAAAATAAAAATAAACACAATCTACTCACAGAGCATAGCTCCTGGACTTATATTTTCATTATAATTCCTTACAGGACATTTAACCTTTTATTCATTAATAGGAACTAACTTAATCTAATTTCTATTAAGTGCTGAAGTCGCAGGAAATTTAACTTTTGAGACATTACCATAGCGTTTTTAGAAACTCTTTAAACGTTCCGAAAAAGTGCAAAGAATATTACTTTTACACATTCGGAAAATGATCTGAGAATATTGACACAGAACGTCCTCAGGACGTTGCACTTTGTAAATTGGACCTTCCTACGACATTTAAAGATCTTAACGAAGACGTAAAGGCGACCTGTGGACCTTTTCTGGATATCCTCCTAATGTACATAACGGCCGGAACGGATGTTCTCCGGACGTACGTATGATGCTTTTATGCTGTTTGGGACTGTTGAACATAATTTGTAAAATTCAGAAATGATAGAGTCGACGTGGTTTTATTTACTTGATGAATTGATGAACGCAATGGTAATCTTACTTCTGACCCCACATCTAAAGAGTTTAAAACAAATTTAATTGTAAGTATGGTACACGGGGTATCATATAGTTGGTAGTACAACCGGGTAGAAGGTGATTTTACATGAAAAAATAAGTCAAAAATATATCAAAATGTTTTCATTTAAAACTTCGTTCTCGAGAAAAATGATTTTGAATATTAATCTCGATTGCGTGTATTCATGACAGTAAGTAGAGACGGAATGCAATGAACAGACGCGCTAGTCAAGTCCTATTCGATTGAACGGGTATCCAGCAGATTTTCAAACCCCTTACCTGATTGTCCCATTAGTTTCATTGTTACATGATACCCTGTATATAGTGTGTAACCAATGAAATGTTTATGACATTATTTACATTCTACATTTATATTTTACTGAAAGTCATTTTTATTATTATTTGTTAAATACGATAGAAATAAAGTCAGAAAAATTACTACAATGGAGAATTTAGGGTCTTCAACAAGGAACAAAATATAATTCATAGCAGCATAATATGGTAAGAAATTTCCGTGAATTAGCAATAAACAATGTGGGACCTGTAAACTGTTAAAGAAATAATATGTATATTTCTTATACTTTTCATTTTAGTCTTATTACTTGCACTGAAATATATATAAAATATAATAATCATCGTAAGGAAAGTGTTAATTCATTATTCGAATGATCATGTCTTGTCATTCATTTTGTTACTTGGACGTTTCAAAATCGCCATTAGATTATCCAAAAAAATTCGGTTATTTTAATTTGATTAATGTATGATCGAAGTTTCACTATTACATTTCTTTAACAGAATTTGTAATATTAAACTAACTTAATCGGTATTGCCATAAGAACCTTATCGTCGAACACATAAAAGGCATTAGTACCACATTCACTTTATGTACATCGAATTCATATACCATACATACTCGTGGGTGATTATGATCATATTTCTATAATATATCACGACCCCATTTCGCACACCATGCATCTCACAGATTCGAGACACTATATACCGCGGTTCACCGCAGCTGAAAGCTCCCTTCGATAATCGATATTTATTGTCGAAATATGAGTTCGTGCAGTAAATCGCATTAAAAACTGTACGCCTAGCGTCGTTTCGGTGGGCCGTCCACCGCCATTTTTCTTCGTGTATAGATCTTTCGGCTTTGTTCAATTATTCCTTATAAATTATATATCTCTTTATGCAACCATTCAGAATAAAATATTTTGAAGACACACGACTTCGAACAGCATAAATAAGTCGTAAGCAGAATAACGCGAATAATTTTCATATTCCAGTGCATATTACAAAACATTATTCTGAAGTTAAAAAATAAACAAGAATATTTATTATTCTGCTAATATATTGTATCGTTCTTTCTTCAGTTCAATTTGTTTAAAGTACACATAACAGTACTTTTCATTTTTAATAGATACAATAGATGATCTAATTATTAGAACCACTTGTATGAATTGACGATTTTAATTGTATTCTTCATAATCACATGGGCTGAGCTTAATTTTGTTGTATATTTGTAATGGAGAATTGGTAATTAAAAATTATCCAATGTAGAAACCTTAATATATATTGTCATTTTAATTCTACCAAAAAAAAACATTTATTTGCACTGTGGCTGTAATACTTTGATCACCCATTGTATGGTAATACTTCCTATACTGATCATGTTCCCTTATTTCGTTGAATATTTCATTGGGGGTCAAATATTTCTTCTCATATCCTAGTATTGAAATTCAATAAAATAGATTGTTTGATTTTTACATATTTAACTTGAAAGAATGAATACATTCCATAAATACATTTTATTTCAGAATTAGAAGATTTAGATTCAGACTTACGTATTTCTCTGATACACACGGAACAATCTTGAGATTGCGTTTGAACACTTCTCTATTTATTTCTAAGTACAGGGTTGAAGCTTCGACTAGATGAGATATCTTGGATTCTATATACGATTCTCCCCTTCGAAGCTTTTTCCGTGGATCGAGGCACACTGCAGGAGTATAAGAACATTCACTGGAAAGACATTAATGTTTGACAGATTTGGTCAACGACTGTGTATCGCCAGAGATTTCAACGGCTGCGCAAGGGATAACCGTTGGAAATCTTCCTTGCTCATATGTTCTCCTATGACAATCCCTTTCACGCAGGTATGGCAATCAAATGGAACTTGTAAAAGGAATTAATACCATAAGTAACAATAATAGTTTTAAAAAATAGTTCAGTTGTTTAAATGCACACTATCGATGAATATTCATCTGAACGTGTCTTAAATCGTTCATTTTTAATGGATCATTTAATAATCATCAGGATCATACAAATCAAGTAGGAAATCACGACACCAATTTGTCTGTTCATTGCAGGCCGTTTCTACTTGTTGTCAGTACAAATACACGCGTTTCAGATAAATGGTCAAACCTAATTTTCTGGACGGCGAAACATCAGACGAAAAAAATTTATAGTTCTTCTCGATTTATTTTTACCTTTCCTTTTACCTCCTGCCCAGTTGTACTACTTGACCTAAAATAGTACAGTTTCTTGAGTTGCACAGAATGTTATTGATGTAAGCAGTTGTTAGTTAACTTATTATCTAACATAGTATGTAAGTTAAATTATTTTTTATATTAAAAGTAAAAATCTTAACAGATGCATAACCTAAATTATTTTATATTACCGTTGCGTTTTCGAAAAAACTATGATAGTAAAGTTTTAGTACATTATACTTCTCCATATCTATCGAAAAAGTGTTGTAAAAGCATTCTATGTATAAAACTATGGAAAAATCAAAGCGCAGGTAAATACGCGGTGTACACGTATGAAAGATGACATAATCATCCTCCTGTGAGAAGGATTAGGCATTTCGCTTGACCTTCCGTTTCAGTAAATTTCTGGAGCTTTCTCATGGGACCAAGCTACTGTCGGTTCGCCGAAATCCTCTTGTCTACTTATCTGAATGCAGGAAGAGGATATTGTTGTCCCATACGATGTAATTCATTCGTGAAGACCAATAAATTTAGTAGTTTAAATAAGTAAATATAAACATAATTAAAGCAGCAATGTTATTGTCTCTTGTAAAAACAATTATTTTTAACAAATAAATATCGAAAAAACGAATAATGACCAGAGGAAAAGGCTCGAGGTAAAATCATTCTGTGAACATCGAATTCCTCGGCAAAAAATTGTGCGATGCAATAACGATCAGTGTCGAGAAAGACGATTTTGAAATAGACAGGAAGTTTAGCATTTTCTGTTGCAGAAACTTTTTAAAGCCCTCTCGCGAGACGAAGCTTCATTTAGAGTCGAGGTTGGCTCGGAAATTTTCCGACGTGAAACTCGAATTGATCTTTTATCTTCTTATATTTCACGGTTCTTTTAATTCAATCGTGGACACTGTACGCGAAGCGAGGGGCAGAGCGGCACTCGCTGCTGTAACGGGAATGCAAACATTGATCTTCATGCTTGAGCTATTGATTCGCGACCGTGCATCATTTTCGAGGCTTTAGGACACCAATTAAAGCTTCCTCGCGCGCAATTCACCAGGGGATCGGTGCTCGCCGGTTTACGCGGTATTTACACAAAAGTTTGAAAAATCGCCGATGGATTCGAAAGAAATCGTCGACACGATCAATTTCGCCCGGAGCAAATTGCAAGGAAATCGATGGCTGAGAAAACAATGCATACGGAATCACCGATTGATCCTGATTGTACACGGTGAGTGAAGATAAATGGAACATCAAGTTTAATTTAATACCCCCCGCATAACGTTTTGTAAATTTACATTCATGCTCCTGCGAAACTGCAGGGGAATCGATCACTTTCAAATTCGTACTTTATAGTTCGAACAGTTTGCTAACTTCCGAGACACATACGGACACATTTTTCTGAAAGTTTCCGACACGATTTATACTGAAATGTTTCCAGTGAATTACTTTTATTACTAACAATTAATCGATAAAACGACAAAATATACTTTTTTAATAGGAAGATTTATATATTTATATTTATAAACATTGATAGTGATTTAATACTTATGTCGCTTTTTACGAGAGCTTCATATTTTCAAGTTGCAAGCAAGAATTAGGAATCAACTTCACCCATGGTCACCTAATTTGAGAAGCCTTCTGGAAAACGAAGTTTCATACGCAAAAATATTATTCTACTTTTTCAATTTGTTTTTATGCATAAAATTGCATTGAGCTTAATTGCACCAGTAATCTTGGTATATACTATTATGTCACAGAATCCGTTCTTTACAATTAATCTTGTAAAGTACACTTCACTGGCTCGTATTCATTAATATCGATAAATTGAACACATCAAACTGGAATCTATTTCGCTAGAATGACCATATTTTATTCTACCATTCAGTTAATATTTCATTTTAAAAATAATGTACCTCGAACACTGCGCCCCAATTTACGCTCGTAAACTATATCATTCCTGCCCGTAACGCGAATCTTTCATGAAACTGTAGAAAGTAAACCTTTATTTAGTTTTACCATAGAAACGCAACGAAACCATTTCTCGGATACTTTTACGATGATTGGTGCATTGTTAGAATTGCAATGTCAACCGAACAACACATGTGATGACCATCAAAAGTGACATTTCAAAAATGGTTCCATTTCAACAGCTACACGAGCGCGATACGTATCATTTCTTTTAAATTCCATATTATTTCCAATCACATTGGAAACCATTGATCCGGTAAATGCGTTGTATTCATGTAACGAATCATATTCATGAAATGAACAAAATATGTCGATTGAGAACGCGTGATCGTTATATTGCTGTATCTCGTTACTAGAATGAAAAACGTTGGGAATTGCTGCAAATTTGTGGTGAATATTATGCCGAAAATTCGAGAATTATTGGTTTGAACGTGATACGAGCTAAACGCAGGACGAGTCATGATAGCGTGAAGGGAAATCCGATGAAAATCGTCGTCTACATTTTTTTCAGCTCCCATGGCGCAATAGGAACCCGATAGAAATATGATTTTCTATGACGACAATGTAGTACAAATTGTTGTTAAAATGTTCGTGATCAACTCGTGCAAAATTTTATAAAACGTGAATTTGTCAGGCTCAACAAAGAAAACGCGGTAAATGTTCGAATTCGACGAATTTTTTGGTCATCGAAAACTAGACAGTACGTTTTCCCCGAGTTCTTTCTTTCGTTTAATATTAAAATCCGGAAGCGGGACGTCGCCGGGGAAATTTTAAACGGAACGGGAACGTCGGAGGTGAAGGGAAAGAAAAGCGTTTTCCATCAGAACTTTGCAGAACCGAGTAA